CACGTATTCCGTTTCTGGCATGACCCGGACAGCACATTCAACCGCATGGTTGGCCAAGGTGGAAATAATGCGACTGGTGTTGGTATCCTCCATGTCTAATTCACCACCTTCTTTATCTGCCTTCCACCATTTTTGATTCTTGTAATTGAGTCTACCAAAGGCTGGATTGGGCCACTTTGCTCTAACGTGTGCCACAGCATACATCCCTGCCTTTAGTTTTTTGGTGAGAGGTGACAGGGACTTGGCCACTCCAGGGGAAGGTTGAAAGAGACGTCGAAAGAGTGCTGGCCAGAGGTCATCTGCTGGTGTCCCTACCAGCTCGTCTTGTCGTGGTTGCACTGCAGGAATGGCCAAATTGGAATTCATGAAAATGACTTTTTTGTCTTTCCATTTGTCCTCTTCTATTCTGGTGTGCCAGGCAACTCGCCGTTCGCCCTTGTATTGGTTTGCCGTGCGATTGCCATATTCGTACCATTCATCCATCAAATATCCATCTGGTAGGCGCCAATCAAAACCATCTGGTGGTGGTACCAAGAATTCTTCGAGTGGGAGTGGTTTGTAGTACTTGATCAAGAATTTGCGTCCTGTTTTGTGTGCCAACCAAAGCTGGTACGGCATTAGTGCCAATCGATCAGAAAACCCACCACAGTCTTCTAGTTTGTTATTGGAATGTTTGTAACAGGTAATGACAATGAATTTGTTGTCTGGATTGGTGAGCATTTCATGATGGGCTTGTGGATTATTGGCAGGCTGTGTCTTTAAGAATTCATCCAGCCATTCAGGCAGAGCAAATCTGTTTCGGTGGTCTCGGTACTGGACAAAGTCATGCTCGTAGTTGTAGTCAATCACAGGAATCAGTGGGAAGTTTGTATTGTCTGGGATGTCAATTTTGTCTTGGAAGTTCAGTTCTGTAGGGCTTGGTGTCTTTGGTGGCCTCTGTAGGATTATGTGAGTGAGCTTTGGGGTAAGCAGGAAGCATCGGTTAGGATTTGGAGTTTTTGGATGTTGCTGCGGCTGGTTTGCGTTTTGGTTGACACCTGTTCTGTTTCTACCACGTCTGTGCTTTTTTCCTGGTTTGTGTTGCTTGGCCGTTGTCGTTTGTGTTGTCACCATTCTTGCCACCATGTTGTTTCAAATTTGGCAATCAAGCCTCTCCATATTTCTTCTTCCTGCTCTTGTGGCAGATCCCATTCATCCAATTCATGACTGACCTTGGTCAACAAGACACCATGATGGCTATCCGTCACCTTGACCACAGTATGCCCCCCTTCCAATTCTCTTGCTTCGGCACTCTTTTTCACACCAAATGACTCAAACAGATTGCCGGAAAATTCACTAATCTCCACAAAGTTGTACATGACGGGTGGAATTGATAGAAACACAAGGACCTTAATCACCGTAGATCGGCTAAACCTCGTCCTGCTCGATGGTTGTTCCTTTTGCGTTGTTGTCGTCGTTACAGCAGCACCATTTGTCTGGCGCTCATTGAATGTCGATTGTCTCGCGGGAGGATCGGGAGCCTTCCTCGTCTTGGTCGATTCTCCTCCAACTGCTTTAGGATCTGTAGCCTTCCTCATCTTGTTGGAAACACCGCTCTTGCCTCCGTTGTCTGGTTCTAAGGATGGTTGTGGATGGATGCAGGAATCTCTTTTCGTTGTTTTTGCTTGGGTTGTTTGCGTGCTTCTGATGAAGTCATTGTTGGTCATGGAAATTGGCTTTGAATGCCTTTCGCGTTGACCTCGTAAGATCTTCGTGTTAGCGAGCTCGCGGGTACCGGTACCACCAGGTGTGTGACTCATCTTCATCCATTGAGTCACTAATAAACGTCAGTGCAAAAGCTAAAGCTGAGTTTTGACAATGACACCGAAACAGACAAGGATACCGTTGGCACTCGTTTCGCACAAACTAACTGGAAACACCTCCATTGATACTGTTGGACAACCATGAACATGAAAACTCTTGCTGTTACACTGTGCTGTCTCTTTTCTGTGGCTTGTGGCTTTCAGCCGCAGCAAGCTCCATCTTCAACGAAGTTGCAACCGTTGCAAATGACAATGGATCGACGTTCTTTACTGGCCACGGCCGTCATTCCAATGATACTGTTAAAGCCAGAAATGGCTCAAGCCGGTATTGATCCTACTCTTTTAAAGTCTTTGCCAGTGAAAGGAGACGAAACAGGCGCCGCTCAAAGGTTGCGCCAAGTGGAATCCATCCAAAGACCAGCTTCAGATTTGGTGCAAATGCCATTTGAAGAATTACCAAGTGGAGTCAGTTATCGGGAGTATCGAGAGGGAAAGGGAGAAGCAGGTAAGTGGGTTGATGCAAGGAAAAACACTGTTCAAGATATGACCATGTGAACGACACAAGATCTCACAGAACAAACCTCATTTTATCTTCTCTCCTTTCATACTTTCAATTTGTACATACTATAGTCGTCCAAGAAGGTTCCAAAGTTGCTGTTGAAATGACTATCCGATGCAAGAGTTTTGCTACGGCCAATGAACCAGGCGGCCTCAAATACTTCTCCACCAAAGATGACACGGAGTTCAATGAATTGGCCTGGACAGTCGGGCGTGGAGAATCCCCACCGGGCCTCGAAGAAGGAATGATGGGTATGCACAAGAATGCCGTGCGTCGAATTGAAATACCTTCCACCATGACCTTTGCCGCACGAAACGCCAATCAGCTGCCACTGCCAACTACGAAGGATGGGAAACGGAGATTCGATCAATTGTTCAAGACCGATGCCACGTTGCTTTTTGAGGTGTTGGTCACGAGAATCAAATAAATGATAAACTAACACAACAACAAGTACCTGTAGTGGGCAAATGCCATTTGACACTATTCGGGTACGCCACTTACTGGTGCCGATTGATGCACTTCAATCTTTAGAAAGCAAAGTTGTTCCATATCGGTACTGCTAGCTAGATGAGTCTGTATCGTACAGTCTGTAATGATTGGATCTGGCTATGCATAGTCCCGGTGAGCTCGCTAGCTTCAGGTGCAGGCTCCTCGTTCTTGTCTTTGGTGCCATATCTCCGCATTTTCAAACTATTCTTGCTGTACTTGCTAGCTGGTACAAGTCTCTCCGGCCAGTTCGGAGGCCAAAACGCCACGATTACAAATCCTCAACGAAACTTCGAACGGCAACTGCCAAATTGACAGATGGCGTCACAGAAGATGAATCTATAGAATCGGTTTCAAGCTTTGAAGACCTGAAAGAGGACTGCCGGAGGACTCGGGGCGATCTTATGGCTTCGGAGAGATATCCAGTATACACGCGACCGAGCCAAATTATTGACATCGGCAGAAACAGAATAAACGGCAACTGAAAAACTACGTGTAGTATGATTCCATGCATGCAGTAATACTGTGCTGCTCCTGTCGTATCCAGCTTCTGACACAGGGCACTGGATCATTCATTCATCCTTGCCTATAGTTGCTCCCGCCCTCACAAGAGCAATTGCAGCCACAAAGCAAAGAGGTACAATCAAACATCACTTCATTGGTGGCTGCAACGCAGGGATTCAAGCTATTGCTGATACAAGTACCATTCAGATGGCAAAGAGCCTCAGGTACAGTCCCAGAGAGCCCTGGATTGCCTTCTAGTTGGAGAGTGTAGAGAGTATCATCCAATAGCGAAAGCTCATCAGGTATCGTTCATGATAGAGAATTGTTGTGGAGTCTTAGTTTTCACACTTCTGTCAAAAGGGCCAATTCACTGGGAATGTTGCCAGTGAGTTGATTGCCAAAGAGCTGCAGATCTCTGAGGATGGTGATCAGCCCTAGTTCTGAAGGGATGGATCCGGAGAGGAGGTTGCTGGACACAGCCAGACGTTGAGTGTTTGCTTGTAGGAGCCCAAATTCACTGGGAATAAAGCCAGTGAGTTGATTGTCATTCACAGAGAACACATTCGTGGATGTCAGCAAACCCAGCTCTGTGGGGATGGTGCCAGAATATAAACTTTTTGACAAGGAAAAAATCAGTAGATCTGATAGTGTTCCCAGTTCACTAGAAAGCTGTCCGGAAAAAATTGTTGTTGAATAAAGTCAACCATTCCAGATGTTGCAGTTCCCCCACCTCTGAGGGTATTGTGCCTGGTAATCCAGAAGTTGCGTGAGAATCAACCAAGCAAAGAAACAATGATTCCACTGGCAGTACAAGCCAGCACTTACCGGAGTATTGGCAGTCATCCATACTGAGCCATCTAAGGTTGGACATCACAGCAATTTCCGATGGAATGGTGCCTTTCATGTTGGGATTGCTAACAAGAAAAAGTGTCTGCAGGTTCGTGAGTTTCTGCCACAGGTCCTTGGGAACCTGTCCCTCATGCTCATTGGTATTCAATCCGAGGCCTCACATTTTGGTTAGCAATCCAATTTCTGTGGGTATGGTCCCAGCTTTGGTGTGCCCATTAATGACCAATCCTTGCAAGTTTGTCAGCTGTCCCACTCTTCTTGAGATGGTTCCTTCAATCCTATTTCTCCCGATGGAGAGAGTTTCAAGGAGAGTCAAGAGAAACAACTCTTCAGGGATAGAGCCCTCTAGGTCATTTTGGTCAAGCCATAGATGCATGTACAAGCCCGTGTCATTGTGACAAGAGGGAGCACCCGAAAGATTCTGGAATTCGGAGAAGTATCCTGGGATGAATTTGGATTGAAAGTCTCGAAGAGAGAAGGATGACTGTTTGAACCAGTCACACTCATCAATGCTGTGATTGAGCCAGTTGGTGTTGGTAGTCCACATGTCCCCGTTGGTGAAAAAATAGAGAGTGGCCAGGGCAACAGTTGTATGATGTGGCCTTCCTATGAAGAATAGAGATATTCTTGTTCGATATCATCCAATAACCATTGAAAGGCTTGTGCTTGGGGAGATTCCGGATCTTCCTCGATGGACTTGGCAGTGTCTTGTGGGAGCAAGGCAAGGATGTTGTGGTGCAGTGTAGTGGGCGGGGGGGAAGGTATCTCGGTGGCAGGTTCCAGTTTATTGGCTTCCAAGTCATCTGAGGGTAAGGTTGCTTCATTGTTGCGGGTCAAAACCACCACTACTACCAGAATGACGGTAACCCCAATCAAAACAAGACAGCCTAGAGAAATTGCCTTGCTTTGGAACCGCTTGGCCCTCCTGGCTCTCTTCCTGGCCAATTCGCCAGCATCAAAATCTTGTGCTTTGGGCAGGTTAGCTGTGGACTGCAGTGTGTCTTCTGGAACAAAATTTGCCACCGTCAAACCATGATCATGATTATGAAAATCAGTAGCAGTGGAATCCTCGTCCTGGACTACTGAATTGCTGCTGTCTGGTGTTTCCTGTATTATAGGATCACAAGAGGTATCCACCTCTGCTGGGGTATGGGTGGGAGCAACAGCATAGGCGCCAGGGAGACTCTCTAGCTGAACTGCACCTGCTCTCTCTAGCTGAAAATTCACTTGTATTATCGTTGTTTCTGTACTGGTATCGGATACCAGGGCAGTCTGATCCCTTGGATTGATGCTGTTAGTACTGTCACCAATGCGTGGTTTTGTGGACTGTGCTTCCACATCTATGTCTTTACCTTCCAGATCAGCACTCGTACCGTTAGTAGCACTACTATGATTGCTGTGATCATTCAGTCGAGCAGCTACGTACATATTATGTACATCTTTATCCTCCTTCATTGTAGCAGTAGACATAGTGCTGGACGCCACTCCGATATAGCTGTTTGTCCAGGACCTCTGTGGAAACGTTATTCGTGGCAAAATACTTAGGAGACGATACACCAAGGAATAGGAGACGATCAAAATGATTTAGGAGACGAAAGCAATCGTCTCCTATATTTAGGAGACGATTCAGTAGGAGACATTCCAATTAGGAGACGAAAATTTCGAAATAGGAGACGATCTGAAAGATTTAGGAGACGATACCATACAGTTTACATGGTACACTTAGGAGACGATCCGTTGAGAATAGGAGACGATCCGTTGAAAATAGGAGACGTTTTATGAGGAGACAAAAGATTTAAGAGACGATCCGTTTCGTCTCCTATTTTTAGGAGACGAAATCCATTAAATAGGAGACGATCAAAAGGATTTAGGAGACGAAAAGTAGCACGACTCGAGTTTCCACAGAGGTCCAGCAGCAGCAAGCTATTAGCAAGTTGATTGAGTTGAAGAGCTTCACGATCAGTGAGACGAATCACGCTGCTAGACTGTGAGAGCCTGTTCTAGCCAGACTCTGAGGTTTAAAGGTGTTGGCAAGCACCTATTACGCACTCGTACGTCTTGTGGAGGGCAATAGTGAGACCAGCAGCAGCTGGAGCAGCTGCCCATTCTGAGTCATTGGGGCCGCGTCTGGGACAGAAAATGGGATCAAGAGATAATAATTGAAGTTGAAGGAGACGGAAAAACAAGAAACACGAAGTCCACAACAGCTCACAAATTCATGTGAACGGAACAAGGCAATAATTCTCTTATCATACTGCTGACGATCGAGTGCGCAGATGGCAAGTGTCTTAGCATCCCTGTTTCCGCACGAGGGGACTGAAGGTTTGCAGTTGGCAGCAACAGGCTCCACAAAATGGAGCAGCAACAAGCTGGTTAGGACACTCCGAACAATGCAACGATCCCCACGAGACGACAACCCCGACAACGACCATGAGGCTGGAGAGATTCGCTCTCGTCACCCACATCACCAACAAAGGACGATACCAAGGACTGGTGCGGTCAGGTCTGTCGAGGGATGGGTAGTATTTGTTACTGGAATTCACGAGGAAGCACAAGAAGACGATATCAGCGACGCCTTCTCCGACCATGGGACTGTGACAAAGATGCAAATGAACGTCGATAGGCAGACTGGCCTTGCCAAAGGTTATGCCTTAGTCGAGTATGCGTCCCAAACAGAAGCACAGGATGCCATCAATAACTTGCACGGTGCCAAAATACTGGGGAAAACCATTGCTGTCAATTGGGCCTTCGTTAAACCAACGGGATATCGATAGTGGGATGAGGTAATACTAGTACGATTAGAAGCACCAAAACCGAGAAACCACAACATGTATCCCTTCTTCTAATCGATTGCTGGGCAGCATACCGTACTCGTGACCGGTTGCGTGTGATGTATTTAGTGGACAATCTTTTTAAAATAAGGATACAGTTTCATCCAACTACATACCGGTAGAGAGCATTGATCTTGACCCTGGGTAGTGGCTACCGTAGGACACACTCACTACACGCAGCTAGAAGACTACTAGTAGTGAAGTGATGTAACTGCGTTGGCCTTTAGCCACGTTCCTTCTTAGTTTTAGTGCTTCAACAGCGAGAACATGTATCGAATTTTGCCAGGTGGCTCTGAAGGACGATTCTGCGGGGAGCGACGCATCCAACTTTTCTGCTTGTGTGTTAGGTGCTGGAAAGCAAGGAATGCACTGTTCCAGTGCTTTACCTCCACCTCTGGTTCTGGGACGGGCCTCCTCCTCCGCCGCGTCCTCCTCCTCCGTACCTATCATCTCCTCCGCCGCGTCCTCCTCCGTACCTATCATCTCCTCCGCCACGTCCTCCTCCACCGTACTATCATCTCCTCCGCCACGTCCTCCTCCACCATACCTGTCGTCCCTCCTATCATCTCTCCTATCGCCGCCTCCAAACCTGCTGCCGCCACCGCCACGGCCATCGTCACGTCGGCCATCGTAGCGCCCGCCGCCAGGATAACGATTGCGGTCGTCACTTCCGCCACCAGTACCCCCTCCTCGTCTTGAGGGGGGTACATACTTGCCACCCGTTCCTCCTCCAGCTCCGCCAACTCTGGCGCCTGCAAATCTTCCGGTGCCACGTTGTTCTTGCGCTTGGGACTCTTTCTGTAACCACATGAATGCAAAAAAGTTTATCATTAGACAACGACAATCCGGCAACTAACTAATCTGCGCAAACTTACCTGGCGCTCCTCTTCCATGCGAGCCACTTCCGCCCGACGCGCCTCCTCTTCTTTGGCTTCACGTTCTCTACGGGCCTCCTCTTTCTTCCGCTGTTCCTCTTCCTCCTGTAGGCGCTGCTCCTCTTCTTTCCGGCGGCGAATTTCGTCGGCCTTGCGCTTTTCTTCGTCATCCTTGCGCTTGCGAGCACGACGAACCTTGGCTTTCTCAGCTTCAATCTCGGCCTCGTCTTCCGCAGCTCTGCAAAGGGACTTGTGCTTGACTCTCCTTCCTTCCATAATCTTAGATTCAAAGTCGTCAAGGTAATCAAACACACAATGATCGGTGAGGGCCTGTTTGGCAGCCACATCGGACTCCCACTGAATCTTGGCTTTCTCCTTCTTCTGGGCTACTTCTGACTCGTAGCGCTCCTTGTCAACCTTGTTCTTTTCTTCGTACTTGGCCTTGATCAATGGAAGCTCCTCGATACGGATGGCTCGAACCAGGTAGTCCAGTTTCTTCGCAACTTCCTTCGTCTTGCGCTCCGCTTCTTCCTTCTTCTTGTTCACCTTGTCCTGGTGCTCCTTCTGCAATGCCTGAGTGTCAATCTTCTGGATCTGTTCATCCGTCAAAGAATCCGTCTTGTGACCCATGGCCTTCAAGAACTTCAACTTTTCCTTGTTGTCGAGTTCCGCTTGGATCTTGCGCAACTTTTCTTGTTCACGCTCACGCTGCTCACGGACGCGGCGGGCCTCTTCCTGCTGTCTGCGAGCAGCCTCTTCGGCAGCCTTTTGCTGCTGTTCCTGTTTGATCTTGTCCTGCGCCAAACGCTCCACTTCTTCCTTGCGCTTTTCAATCATGTTCTTGCGATCCAAAATGATCCTGTTCTCTTCCACAATGTTGGCCCGGACATCTTGATAGACAGCCGCGCGATTGGCTTGACGAGCCGACTTATCGGGTGGATTCAAAATGTGACAGACTGCCTCGAGCTGCTTGGACAACACAGTCAGCTGGGAGCGCATGACATCCGACTCGAGTTGGGCATCTCCAAAGCGCAAGCATCCGGCGCGATGGTCCAATCGGACACTGAGAGCCTTGCTTTGCGTGAACAAAACAATGGCCTTTTCGACCTGCTCAAACGACATTTCCAATCCATTCGTAAGGCTCTTCAAATGGTCCATGGAAACGGTGTGGTAGGCCGCGGACAGATTCTGAAGCAACTTGAGCAACAAGACCGACGTCAATGGTTTCACGTAGCGTCCCAGAGTGTTGTCTTCAACATCGTCATTGTCAGCCTCGGAATCGGTCAACGTGGTGGCTCCAATTTCCTTCTTGAGCTGTTCCAAGAGAGGACGGGCCTGTTCCACGAGCACCAAGGGGTCGCTGGTTTCTTCCAAGAGAAAGTAAAGTTTCTTGAGGTACTCGGGGACCTGATCCAAAATGTTCTTGGACTTGATTTCCGTCAAGAGAGCATCACGGTTTGGGTTGCGCGTGTGGAACCCCAGCAAAGTAGCCATGCGTGACATTTTCTGCTTGACAATATCGTCTCCCGCCGTGGTAGACAATTCGTGGTTCTTTCCATTCGAGGTTCCGGCCTGATTGGGCAGAGTGGGGATACAAAGGGCGGCCAAAAGGACAGCCGATGCCTGAATGCGTTTGGTATCCTCACTCATCCCACGGTTGTATTCACGGCACAGAGTGTAGTACTTGTACCAGGCAAAGGCGTGGAACAGGTAATTCTCACTGACCCAGAACAGCGTGGTGAGCTTTTCGTAGTAGGCAGCCATAAGCTTGGCCTTTGGGGGAGGGGCATCCGGATTGGTCTTGCGACGTGCCTGACTAATCTGCAAAATGTTGTAGATATCTTCCACAGTCCTGAAACCTTCCGTGTAGCGATGCAAAACACTGGCTGTTTCCAATTGGGCAAAACGAGTCTGTAGATGCAACTCGATCGCTTCGGTCGTCCATCCCTCCCATCCACGGACCTTGTTGTTGGTCTTTCCATCATCTCCAACGGCCTTGATGTTTCCATACTGACGTAGATTGCCTAGATGCATTCGCAGCATGTCGCACAAATGACGGAATTCCATGCGTCGCTTGTAGACACGGCAAAAGCGCAACGCACCCACGGCGGCGCTGTGGTAGACATGTTCCAATTTGGAGTTGGAGCGCAAAATATCGAGTACGGCACGGTAGGTCTCCCAGAGAAACTTGAGCGATGGCAAGAGAAGGGTCGAATCACGCTGCGATTTGGCCGGATCTGTGGACATGGTACTGAGCAAAATCGCCTGAGGCGAAGCCGCAAATCCATCGCCGTCGTCTCCATCACCACCGTCTGCTCCTGGCGAAATGGCCGTAGCCGCCAAGACAGCTTCGGCGTCGGCAGATGCCTTGGCTTGGGAACATTTCTCTTCGGCTTTTTCCATGAGATATCGTATCACTTTTTCTAACGACCCCGGCGCCTGCGACTGACTGAGATTCCGATACTGGTGCAACCCGTCCTTGGCCTCTCGAGATCGATGCAACTTGAGACACAAATTCAAGTACGTGATCATGATCTGCTCATAGGACGGAGCCCAAGTACGGTGACGACGAGACGACAAAACTTCATGGAGAAGTGTCAATGCTGCTTCTGGCTGGTTGATGCCTTCCAATTCCAAAGCCCGACGCAGCGCCAATTCGGGCTTGTGAAAAAATGTTGAGGACGTCATGTTGCTTTTGTTTGATCTCTCTCTCTCCTTCTAGACTAGTGGCTAGAAACTCGGTTCAGAAGGCGTCAGTGCCCAGTTTCCTATCTGTCTTGTGGAGACTGCCACCTCTTGCTGGCCAGGGTGAAGATACAGTCGAAGAGACAAGTAAATAGATGAAACGTGCGGTGCCAGAAGAAAACTGTCTCGTTTTTGTGCCATGGTCCATGGTCGCCTCATCCTTGCCGCCACCCAAATTTATTTGCTGAAAGTGCGCAAGATCGCGCGACGGTCAAATCAATGCTTCCACGTGGAACCTATGCTTTGCTAGTGCACGAACCTCTCGCCGCATTGGGAAACTGGTCCGAGGCTCACAATCAATTGATGCAACAGGTTCAGGTTGCAAGCCCCCTTTCAGGGCAATCCTCTGGTCCGAGCGGCATTCTTTTGATGGCGCCATGTGATGGAGTGATGGTCGTTTCCTCCATCTGTTGGATGAGCCGGAGTCGAGTCCATCCCGTCCCAACTTGCTCTAGCTAGACCTATGGTGCACTAGCTTAGCTAACTACAGGTAAAAAGAAATGCGTGGGACAAACAAAATGCTAAAAGTTATTCTTTCTCTCGATGCTTTATGTAAACAAGTAATACCCCGCTGCAGTTCTTTAAAAAGTACAGTGAGTAGCGTCTTTACAACAGGTCCTTCTCGTATGCCAAATCTTCTTCGTCACTGTCAAGAGGCTCGCCGTTCTTGATCTTGGCCTTGATCTTCTTGATCATTTGCTTCTCTTCCTTCTTGGACAGCTTCTTCTTGGCTTGCTTGATCTCCACCTTGTTACCGGCAGCATCTGTCATTTCTTGCAGTTGCATTTGATCGTCAATCTTCTCGTCCTGCTTAAGCATCCAGTCGGCATCTCCCTTGGTTTCCAAGTGACCAGCGTCCATCACCCAGGTCTCGGGACACAGCTGCGACACGAACTGATTGTTGTGCGAAATAATCACAACACCGCCATCAAACGTCTCAATGGCTCCGGCAAGGGCACCCAAACTCTCACGATCCAAGTAGTTGGTGGGTTCGTCCAAGATAACCTGTTCATCAATGAAAGTACGTTAAAAAGCAAAGAAAGGAGGTCAGTCCACATGATTCGATTGGTTCGTTCGTTCGTTGAACTCGAGCAGCAAATAGCAACAGTGAAACTTACAATGTGCGGTTGCATCCACATGGCAGCGGCCAACACAACCTTGACCTTTTGTCCTCCGGAGAGGGCAGAGATACGGTAGTGGGTTCCGAATTCACGGGCCAAACCACAGTGCTCCAAGTGCTCCTCGACGTTCTTGGTGGAAAGAGGCTTCAAGAAAACACCCTGCAATTGGGCGAGCTTGAGATCGACTGCCTTCATGGCCTTGTCCCATCCCATCTTCTTCAATGTCTTGGCAGGGAGGAACTCGCCATTTTCAACGGTGGAACCGGAGTACTTGACTTCGTATTCGTATTCCTTAGCCTTGTTGAGCTTACGTCCTCCAACAAGCTCGGCGACAACCTTCTTGACCTTGGAGATCTTTCCAGTGTCCTCGTCCATGAAGGTGATTTCAAAGGGCTTCTTCTGCAGGGCAATTTCGTCGTCGGTGAATTGCAGGGTAACCTTAACAAGACTCTCCTTGTCTTCACCGCCATTGGCAAATCGCCATCGGATGTACTCATTGGGGGTCTTGCTCAAGTGACTTTCAATATGGTGGAAAGCGTGCTGAGCAACGTAGGCGATACGAGCGTTAGGGTGCTTCCACACATCTCCAATTTGTGGGATAATTTCTCCAACCAAAAGCTTAATCATGGTGGATTTTCCGGCTCCGTTCTCTCCGATGCAGGCAACACGGGAACTGAGAGACACTTGAATAGAGATATCGAAAAGGGTAGGAGCTTCGTTTCCAGGGTAAGTGAAGGTACACTTGGACATCTTCATCAAAGCTTTACCCTTGGACTTGACACCCTCAATGGGACCAGGTTGAGGGAACTTGAACTTCATCTTGGAGGCGCTCAAGGAGAAGTAGGCTCGGGCAGCTGGGTGGGTCTTGACGTATTCGTCCAAGTTACCCTTGTACGTATTAAGCTTCAAGTTGTCGAAGGAGAGGATGTGGGTACAGCAATCGTTCAGGAGACCAGAGTCATGACTGACAATGATGGATGTCACACTGTCCAGGGAGTTCAAGTAAGTCTTCACCCAGGCAACGTTAATAACATCTGAAGAAACAAAACAACACGAATAAGAAATGATATCCTCGCAACCAAAAAACCAAAAAAGAAGGTAGAACAGCGCAGACTTACCCAAGTGATTGGTAGGTTCATCCAGAAGAAGGATATCGGCCCTCTGGAGCATAGCACGGGCCAGGGCCAGCTTCATGCGCCATCCTCCACTGAGAGTAGACACTGCGTGATCAGGCTTGGCCTTTCCGTCTGGTGTAAAACCGACGGTTCCAAGAACCTTTCGGGCCTCATCTTCTTTGATTCCCATTTTCTGAAGCTTGGGATCAGCACAGACGTATTCGACACAAGAAAGATGCGACTGTTCTCCCTGAATATCGGCCTCAACGAACACAGTTCGGACTTGGTCAGTGTCGGGGAATCCTTCGACTTGGTTGTTGGCAATGGATCTCATCAAAGTTGTCTTTCCACAATCATTGGGTCCGAGCAGACCATATCGCTTTCCACGCTTCAACTTCATCTTCGTGTTGTGGAGAAGAATCTTGGTACCGTAAGCGAGAGTAAAAGTACAGTTACACAATTCCTCGGCATCATCGTCGTCGTCATCCTCCTCGGGTATTTCGAGCATCTTCTCGGCCTCAACACGGACCTTCTCAACGGCCTCGTCGGCCTTGGCCTTGTCAGAGTAAGTTGCCAAAATGGGGGAAACGTTCTTGGTCCATTGCAAATCTTCCATGTATTTCAAGTCCATCATTGTGGTGGCGATCGTGCAGGCATGTTGAATGACCTTCGTATAGCCAGCATCGGGGTCGCTTACTCCGAGGGCCTTCTGGAACTCTCCTTCGAGTTTGGAGGTGTCTCCACGGACAGAAGCTGCCTTGTCAGCCAATCCCTTCAGACGCTCCAACTGGCCAACAGCACGCTCAGTAACTTCACGAGCTTCAGGGTCGGCAATACTCTTGGCATTGGACTCAAGAGCAGGAAGAAGCAAAGGAAGGAAAGGTGCGGCATCGAGGGGATTGTCCACAAGCTTACTCATGTTGTCAATAATGACAGCGGACTGACGCTTGGTGGCAATATTTTTTTCTCGCAAACCACGGAGCAAAAGTGGTACAACCATGGCAAGGGCAGGAGACTCCACACTTTGGACAAAAGTAACTCCAGCCATCTTGTGCATAATTTCAGGCACCTCCTTGGGCTTGGAAATGGCAGTTAGAATTTCTGCAGTCATGTGCTCAATATCCCTGTTGCCGATAACATTCAGAGCCCCTTTCATGGCAGCTGTGGCAGCGACCTTGACTTGCTTTTTGGTGTCCCACATGCAAGCAGTAACCTCGGGTACAACCTCGGGAAGAGCATCTCCCAACTGCTTGGGAGCGAGCTCTGGGAAAAGAGCAATGCACTTGAGGGCACGTTCCCTAATTTGCCACTTCTTTTCCACGGGAAGAGCGGCAAAAATTTGAGGGAGAAGAGATTTCATGGCAAATGGATCCGTTTTTTGGCAAATGACGAAGGCAGCTTCCTCACTGGCCTCGACAATAGCCTTGCTCCTGGCGAGTGCTTGTTCCAAGCCTGTAATAAAATTAATTGAGCCGAATCCAGAATATGTGAGATATAAAGAAAAAATGAAAAAGGACGCCCCGTTATCCCGCTTGAGAAGCTCCTCCAAGCCAGCCCAAACAAGCCTTGCATCAATCAAACGATTTGATGCGAGATAATTGCGAAGCCAAGACCAGCAATGACATGGCTGCTCTGGTCCTATTTGGCTTGCTGCTGGCTTGGTATTCAATCACAAGTGGAAGCACGACAGGGGCATTTCCATTCAACATCATGAGCGGACGACTTACAAGCTCCAAGGCATTCCTTGACAAAAACTTGGGATTCAGGAACCTCGGTCATGAGACTGACGACAGTCTTGCAGGCAGCAACGGCTTCCTTCTCGTCCTTGGAACCGCATCGTGCTTGCAAAACCTCGTAGTTATCCGCAAGACCAGATTTCTTCAAACCGTCAGATTTGACCGCACTGACAATGTTGGAGACCTCATCGAGGCTAATCTTTTCGAATTTCTCGGCAAGAGCCATGGTGATTGATTTTGTTGTTCTTGTGAAATATTTCTTTCGTCACTGTATAATTGAAAAGGAACAAAACTGGGTTAATTATCGATGACAGGGGAGATTGACAAGGAGAAAGCTTGGGGTATCAGGCGCGAAATCTACAAGGTCCAAAAATCCTAAAGATAAATGAGCATGGGTATTCATTAACACCAATAACCCATCATCTATTGGATGATGGATGATGATGGCCTCCACTGCAAAGCATTGGTACATTCATACAACACAGATTAGTTCACAACCAACATCTCTCACCTGGAAAGAAAAATATGACCAAGCAATGCCGCTTCCGCTGATGGGTTGGGAAAGGTCACTACCGGGCAACCTGGCAATGCCTAAACTTGGGTGGCTCACAGTGTGCCACAGCAGAGAGCAAAAAGATGATGTACGTGCGCGAATGACGCCAGCAGTAGCCATCTTCCCATGAGATTACCAACAACCACTTGACTTCAATCTTGCTTTCATCGGCACGTCATTTGCATTCGTTCCGTAGCCTTGGTACAAACTCTACTGGGAATCTAATCGGTTCTTCTGCAAGTAACGTGCCCACTTGGACGGTTAGCAGCCACTCATTTTTCACACCGTGGATGGTTGGCCACAATTCCACGACCACGCTCCGAAAACTTGTCCACAGGGACACTGATACATGTATCCAACCTTCCTTGCATCTTGTAACCCTTGGTTCTCCTCTGGGTGGTGGGAGACTGGCACACTAGTCTAGCTAGCTAGCGTGGATACTGACTGGCCCAAGTACCATAGACGGCCATGGATGCAAGCCTTCTACAGCAAACAATCTGACAGTCTGGGGTTTCCAGGCTACAGCTACCACCAAAAAAGTCTTCAGATAAAAAAGAGTTGCTTTCATTTAGTTAGAGCTGTGATGACAATGTTAGAAGTATAGATAAACCTGGATGATGGAGAGCCCTGATTTTATTTTTGTCACCAAGGCTTTGGTCCTTGTAGATTCCCCTAAAAAGCTTCCTCACCAATGAAAGCTTAGACTTCCACTAATGTGCAACAAGGTGAGGTACGACTGTCAGATTCAGAGCTGCTGCCGGCTGCAACAGATGACGACTCAACAGTGCTAGAGCTTTGGAAGATCACTGATTTTGGCTTCACCCAGAAAGCACGGAGGTTTCCCTTTCCTTTGGCATCGATGCCCCCTTCTCGTTCTCTGACCCACTCACTCTTGCCAGCTTCAATCAGCAAGCTGGCTGTGGTCTCGGATGCCTGAATATTTCCAGGCAAACCATTGCTTTCTATCCTTGAGGCAGTGTTCACAGTGTCTCCAAAAATCTGGAAACGAGCACGATCTCCCCTTACCACCCCGGCTGTCAGGCTTCCACTATGAAGACCCACCCTGAGCTTGAGGTCCTTAGTTTCATCTCCCATTGTCTCTGCAAGCTGTAGTTCAATCAAAGAGTCCATCTTGGCAATGCACTCCCATGCAAAGCGAGTCATCACAACAGCATGCTTATCATTTGCCTTTGGTACCCCTGGAAAAGAGTTCAATAAAAGGTTTTTGTCAGGTGCAATGGGATGGTTAAGACTCCAGCAAGTGGATCTCCAGCTACCCACCACAAACTGCAAGGTAGCAATCTCCTGCATTCACGAAGGTGGCATTTGATGAGCTCTCATGACAGCAATGGCCTTCAAACTCGAAGCTCTGCCCCCCAACAAGATCTTCAACTCACCAATTGTCTCAATTTTGAAGACTCGACGGCGCCTAGCAATAGTGTCAAAGGTCCCATACAGGGTCTCAAGTAGCAGGAAGACATCCTTTGGCTCACGTCCATCACACCATTGTGTGAAACCTATGAAAGGAGGGGTAGAGAGGAGATCGATGAGAATACAGGGCAGTTTAGAGGACAGCACCTAGCTTGAATATGTTGAGACTCACCAGCCAAATCGGCAAACATGACTGTGACATTCTCATACAAGTCAGCAATGATGTCAGCATTAAACCCATCGTCTCCATGAATAGGTCCACTTGTTAATTCTGGTTTTGTAATGCTCTTTGACAGAAGGGATGACCGAGGGTTCTGAGTCTTGTTCTCATCAAACAACCTTTCCCTCACAGCTGCAGGATACAAGGTGTTGACCACTTCTGTGGATTCTACAGCCTTCTTCATCACAACTCGATTCCTTCTCTCCATCGCAAGATCATACCCAATGAAGACCAGTGATGTAAAGACAAATGCTGAGATCAAGACAAGTGTGGAATATACTGGGTCTGAAGTCACATAATGGTTCTCCAAGTCTTCTGTAGGGTACACCCGGACTTGATAGCTGCAATGAGCAGCAGCCTGAGCTTCATGTTGGTGGGTAGGAGTCTCCTGCTGCAGAAAAGCATTCCAACCTGTGGTGACAGCCATATCAGTGTACTTGGAATCAAAAAGTGCTCCTTGCCCGACATAGGAAACCTCCTTTCCCATCATCTTGTAAGTAAAGGCCTGTCCACAGGTATTCTCCAGAATAGCAGTCATCTCAGGAGTGTCTTTTGGAAGAATGTTGTAGAAATAAACTTGCCAGTACACATAGGCAGTCAAGGCACCCACAACTTTGCTTGGATTGGCCGTCTGGTTGACATCAGAATGGACATCCTCAAAGATGGGAACATATAGGTCGCTTACAGGCCCATCTTGATAGTGCAGTCCAGCGTCCTGGCGCCGGTTCAAGAAGAGATTCAACACTGCCTTCTTGCCAACTGTGCCTGCATAATTGACATCGGAATAGTCCCAGGCCTCACTGACAAGTGCTGCTTTGTTTTCGATGAGGGCTTTGATCTTTGGAGTTCGTGAAGGGTGAGATAACGCGTTGTAGTTGACCAAGTTCGGTACTGGGATTGCAGGAGCCAACTGCCAGAATGGTGCGTATGGACCAAGCCCTGTCTCCTCCACGATACCCGTCCCACTTAGCTTGGAGATTTCTTCCGGAATGGTCATGTTCGGGCTCGATCCCCATGTCTTTTCCAAGATTTCAATGCTCTCCGCCTCCAGGTAGTTGTCTCCGTTCGTTGCAAGCTTCTGTTGCGACAGGCCTTCCTTGAGCCATCCTTGGTTTTGAACGCTGTATTCTTCCCATCCCTTCCTCGTTTCCCCAGTTATGAAGGGAATGAAGATGATACCCACCAAAGCAGCGAGATCCAACGTGTACGACAGCCTCGTCTCAAAGTCGTCAACGGTGACGTTGGGCCAACGTTGAAATCTCGAGGCAGCGTTGGAAGAGATGGTAACAGCAAGACTCTCGATCGCGCTCAAGCGACGGGCGGCCATAGATTCAAAAGTATCGGCAACCTTGGTGGCCAGATCCAAGAAGGCATTCTCAAACATTTCTTCCTCTTGTTTGCGTGTGAGATAGTAGACTCCTCCACAAATGATGCCGGCCACGAGCATCAGCACCACCGCCATTACAATCCTGGCTCGATAAACGTGCCTGGTTTCGCTATGGGCAATGTTGATCTTGTCACTTGTTTCCGTGGCTTCATCCGTAGTGTTGTGCCCATGGTTGCTCGACCAAAGCGATGACTCTATGGACGCGTTGGCCTCCTCTTGATCAAACGACTCTGACTCGAGGCTGCTCGGAGAGGTGCGGAATTGGGAATGCAACTTCTGTGTTGATGTCATCTTGGCACTTGAGCTACAGCCTTATTCAATGGCAATACTTTCGTTCGGTTAAGCTCGTCAGCTTACAAGCTGTCTGTTGTCTGTTGGTTTAAAATGGAGACTAGCTAGAAATGTTTGTCTTGCTTGTGGAATACGAGTAGGAGGAGTACGCTGTAGTCTAGTTGTGAATTTTCAATTTGTGGTTGGTGGGCGCATTGGTCGAAGATGCCACAGGATCCCAGGACGCACCATGCGAAGCCCTCTGTCCCCAAACCCCAAACTGAAGTGCTCTCGCACTTTCCGATTTCCGAGCTGTCAATAAACAAATAAATAGTTCTCGTTGACTCCCCTGTTGCTTCGCATTCGACTATTCCAGAGACTTCGCATCGTAACACTCGTCAGGTGGCAATGACCTTGAGCCTTATCAATAAGTCAGTAAGGGTGAGAAGCTACGTAGACTACCGGTACCGGTACTCATCCCACCTAGAGCCTGGTTCCTCAGTGGTTTGGGTCCGGTCCTTCTCCAAGATGCGGGGTTGTGGGGTTCCATTCAGGTTCCGTTCCACTGAGCTGGTCATTACTGGTACCGACATGCCTTGTAGGTAGTGCCAGTCAAATCCAAATCCACTTCGATCGAGGTGACCGAGGGGTGCTTGTTGCTTGAGCAGTGGAGGTCTTAGATGTCTCCCAGAGCAACCCAAAGATGTCTGGTGTACAGCGTACAGCTCCAGCGAAAGCCGAACAAATTCGTCTCCTTCCTTTGCTGGGCTCCTGGGATACCGGTACTCCAGAGTACTGTAACCTGCAGTACCCTGCGTGCCAGTTTTCTAGTTACCCTCTCTACATGACTCCTTTCTAGAGAAAAACAATACCATTGTTCCTTTAAACAGAGACAAGGAACACCAACACCAGATGACACATGCTGCCAGTGACGCTCCTATTGTAAGAATTAGTTGCCCCTAACAGCTGGAACCTGGGAACTCTTCTCTTTTACTAGCTAGCCAGCGCTGATGCTTTTCTGGCAGAGCCAAGAATCCAATGACGAGGAGGATCAGTGCATTGGAACGAGACCGACTTTCAAAACCCCATGCCTGGTTCCTCATCTTTCTAACTCTGGGGTATGTGCTCTTCAAACTCGCTCTATCAGTGGAGTTTCTGGGCTGTCGCCCTCGTCGCTGCTGCTAGTTTCGTCGGATGGACGTTCCAAGGATGATTCCGGTTCTGTGGCGGCGTCCTCCTCCTCTTCGTTGCTGTCTGCTTCCTGACGCCGTTGGGTATCGTCGGCACACTTGGCCCAGTTGGATCGGGTCAAGAGCCACACCACAATCACGGCTTCAATACCACCAGCAATAGCATTCCACCAGTATACACCGATAAGATTGCCGTGTAGTACCAAAATGACAATCGCCATGCCACCAATGGACGTTGGCAATTCGAGGCCAAAGGACAAGATCGTAGCAATCAAAGGTCGTCCCTGTCCGCCAAAGACGGACGTAATGTTACCAACCAGCAGATTGAGGTAGTTTCCCACCAACATGGCCGCGACGACCTTGACCGCCAAATCAATGACTTCGTCGTCGTCGGTTGCAATCATCATAATTTGTCGTTTGAGTGGGATAAATACAATGGATGTCAAGATGCACATGACGGTGATAAAGTGAATCATGAGCCACGACGCTCGTCGTGCCGCCTCACCATCCCCTCTCCCCAAATGATACCCCACACGAACGCCACTGACCATACCACACGTGGCACTCATGGTACCACTCCAGGGAATCGTCACCGTGCTCAACGCCGAACTCGCCGCAATGGCGGCATCTCCCAACCGTCCCAACAAGACTGTGGTGGCCTGCGACGACACGGCCTGAAAGAGTAATGTTCCTACGTTCGGCAAGGATTGTTTGAGGAATTCCCAGGTTCGTTCTCGGGTATGATGGGTAAAAGACCATCCGGCATCGGGCCATGCATGTTTGTGGTGTTCTTTGATGAGGAACATGTAAATGAAATAGCAGACTCCTTGCATGGTTCTGGAAATGGACAAGGAAATGGCAGCCCCAATAAATCCAAATCCATTCCAACCCGGGATGGGTCCTCCAAAGACAAAGATCCAGTTCAAGAGTGTGTTAATGCCCAAGAATGCGAGATTGTTGTACATGGCGGGACGTGGGAAACCACACGCCTGAAAGTAGAATCGGAGGCATTGGTAGCTACATGTACATAAATCAGAAGGAAAGAATAAAAGAAGAAGTCAGAACATGACACCGTGTCTTCTCGCTCTCCTTTTGTTGCGAAGAGACAACCATGCAACTCAATATAACTGGATTGAAACTCACAGTCCATTCGGGACGGGCCAGAGTAGATTCCATTTGGCATATTGTCCCGCCACCTCACTGATTTCATGCGAGAATCCGAGCAACTCCAAACAGGGCTGTACATAGAACAACCCGACCAAACAGGGCGTCATTGTGACGGCGATCCAGAACATGGATTGTTGCAACCAAATGCCGGCCATTTTGGGATTGTTGGACCCCATGGCCTGTCCAACCAAGGCACTGACAATTTGATTGAATGCCAATGGCGGAGTGATACAGAGCGTGACCATCATGTCCGACAAGACGGCGGCGGCCAAGTACACTTCCGGTGAATTGTCACCATTGTGAATGTGTCCCACAAAGGCAGAATCGGTAGACGCCATTCCCTGTCAATTGTGTGAAAAAGAGATCAAATGGATGGAATGGATAGAATCGTGAGTGAGCAATTAAACCTGACAGACCGGAACAAAGAGAGATTTGTCGGCAGTTTTGTTCGACTACAACTTGTACTCACCATTCGACAGAAAAAGCTGACCGCCAAGGGAATGCCCAGGTTGACCATTTCCGCAACCTCGTTCTGGAAGGAAAACTCTGTAGTGTTGTCGCCGTCACCAGTGTCGTCGTTATTGGTGTCGTCATTGTCCGTCGTGGCACAGACATCTTCGGGGGGAATTGATTCCACATCGTCTCCTTGAGGGAGCAAAGGCTCTGTCAATTCCTCTTGAGTAGTAGGATTCGTGCCGTCCGTCATTTTGATGGAGGAGAGTTCAGACTGCAATCAATATTCAGTCAAAAAAAAACAATAGATTGTGCCAGGAAAAGAACAAATGACTCGACTCGTTGAGAAAACCAAAGAAAAGGGCTACGCAATCTCAAACAACTTTGGAGAAAGCTCGCCAACCACAACGCCAACCTACCAAAGATCCAATTAATCTTCAAACCCTCAATGCCAAATATTATTCCAAACCACAGATCCTTTGTTCCTTTCGATAAATGGATTGCAGCAACAACAATAAAAGCGAAAGGATTCTGTGGTGCGTGTGGGAGGAACGATGAAAGATGAAACCCAGCGAAACGTGGTCTCATAAGCGCCAGCAGAGCTGCTGGAGGAAAACTCTGCGAAGAGCAAGATCGAAGCAATTGGAAAGTGATCTTGTCCATGACGTCACCCTCATCTCATCTTGATAGCTTTCGTTTGCTTGGAAAAAAGTGAAAGCCACACCTAGCTAGCTAGAAGATCTTTGAGCAACGGTACCAGTAGCACCGGTACAAGTTGTAGATACAAGAGACAGCAACCATGGCGTTTCCATTCCGCTTGATACTTCTTCTATCCTGTTTGTTGTTCACAGCTAGGGCGTTGGCACCCGTCAAAACATCTCCCCCCGCCTCGGTGCTGCTGTCGATCCCAGCAATGCTCCATCGCTCTTGGAACTCACAAAGGCACTGGTCGAACTCTGCCGATCGACGAATCCAGAGACGAATTGGTCGCAGAAATTAGGAGCCAAATCCTGGACACCCGTCTTTTCGGCATCGCCGGAAGTGTTACAGAACACCCACAATGACACTGCCGTGGGACGATTCTTGCCACCTGGAATCAGTTGCCTGTCGTTTTCGTCCAGTACCAATGAAACGGGGACGATTTGCAATCAGATCAATCCATTCTTTGGCGGCCGCCGAGCCGCAACCTTTCGTGTCGAAGGAACCTACACTCTCAACGATCGAACCATGACGCTCGAATTTGAACAATTGACCATTCGGTTGTTGGGTGGAATCATCACACTGCCATCGCTGGATATACGAGAAGGACGCGGCATCCGAAGTCTGTTGGAACGATTGGTACGAGGGGGAAAGAAAACTGCGGAAAAGAAGAAAACCTTTGAAAAGCGACCCAACACTTACTTCTGGTTCTATGCCGACGAACACATTTGTGTGGCACAAGGATCCAGTGGATCGGTGGCAGTTTGGGTTGCGGCTGATGACCAGGATACCACCACCAACTGCTCCGAAGAAAGTTAGATAGGCTGGCTAACAAGGTTGCGAGCAATCAACAGGGAATTTGTGAAGGGGTACATCCTCTTTGAAAGTACCAAAGATCAGCTTTTGAACCGAAGGTAGCAGGTTGTGGCTCAAGATTTGCTATTACGGCCTGGAGATGCAAACTCCGTTTCCAACTGGCTAAACGAAGCAACTGTAATAATCTAAAGTACCACGTACCGGTAGGTGACTGGCTTGCTGTATTAATAGAACGGAATGGAATCAATGCATGCATCATATAATTTTAAGCCAGTCGGAAGCTCTACTAGAGTATTTTTTGCTATGTTTTGTCAGTTGTTATAGCACGTTTCTTTGCTGCCTCCCGTTGGAGGCCGGCATCTGTTTCATGCAAGCATTCGCGACTGAGACTCGTCGCTCGGATGGAAGGAAGGGACTACGGAAGCAGGGAAATGAAAAATGGGACACACGGAATTCCAGTACGTAGATAGTGCATCAACGCCAGCACCAACCACAACTTGAATGCGCTCGTCGGTCGGTGATGCTTTCTACTTGTCGTCTTGGTTATCGTGTCGTGTGTACCGGGAGAATGCATCTTAGATTTCAAAGGAGAACTTCTTCAAGGTTTCTCGATCGGGCCGACGGGCTCCATTGATCTTTGGAGCAGCAATATCGGTACTTCCATTGACGCGTAAGGTTTCTGGCATCAAAGCACTCGGCTTGTTGTCGCTTGTTTTGGGCACGTAGTAGTCGCTTGCATTCATGGTGTAGTTTGGTTTTGTGTCGCTCGTCGAATCTTCCGTCTTTTCGACACTAGCAGTACTTCGTTCGACCTGTTCCATGACGGGTCCGCGGATACTGTTTTGGCACATTTTTTCCATTGGCAGGATGGAGAATGGTTCTTCCATTTGATTGGCCAATTCTTCGATACCGAGCATGAATCCTCCTAGCAATGTCATGACAGGAACGAGCAAGAATCCGCCCCCAAGTGGCTCGAATAGGGCAAAGGGCATGAGGTAGAGCCAGACAGCAAGGAATCGAGTCGTATGACGTGGATAAAAGGTGGGTACGGGCGATGTGAAGATTCGTTCGCAGGCTCCCATGGAGGAGCAGAGTTCTGTGATCATTTTTTCCATTTCGATTTGATGGAGAGGATGAAAGTTGAATTGTACCAGCAGGGACGAGAGTTCTGCGAGAGCGGCAGTTGGACGGTGCTTGGCATGGAGCAGTCTTGTACCGTAGTCTCCATTGTACCCTCCATTCAGTTGTTTGAGGCAGTATAGCTGAAAGGGAGCATCGTCTTCTTGTGAGGGCAATGTTCGGTTCATGAGACTTCTGGAAAAGGAGCAAATGGCATCTCCGAATCGTTTGATAAGTTGAGGCGAGGCATTGTAAGATGTGCTCCAGATACATGCCATTCTGGCCAACGAGCGACTGTCATTGATGACTCTCCCCCATGCCGTGCGGGCTTCATTCCATCGTTGATACGAAACGTTAGTCCGGAAAGTCAACAAGAGTCCCAAGGAGGCAGCAGCCAAATTAAAGGGGACCAAGGGCATTTTGAGAACGGGCAGCGACCGCCCAATCAAGCCCATCCAATTGAGTCTGTTAAAGAGAACGACGCCGAAGGAACATGCCATCAGGACTCCCAACTCGAGCGAAATTTGTCGAAACAGTCCAGACCGAAATGTGTTTCGCAGGGTATCCCAAAATCGTGTAGGACGACGAGAACGAACCCAATCGTCTGCGGTAAAGACATCGCGTCGGTAGAAACGAGACACTTCGCCATAGTTCTTCAGCCATTCTGTCACCTGGTGTTCCTCTGGTTTTGTCCATTCCAGATCCTTCAATCGATGTCTACTCGCAATAATCGAAAGTTGCGTTGGACTGGGACTCGTAGAACTCGTGCGGGGGCTGATATCGGTAGCAATGGGACTGCGCTGTGCTGTCCTAAGCGACGGTTGACTGACGAATCCACTGACAACTGATCCATCTTGGCTGCTCGCAACGGCAAGAAATATGCAAAACACCGAAACACCGCTCGACTGGAACTTCATGGTCGCGATTTCGTTCTAACAAAGAATCGAAAGAACAGTGGCCTCTTCAAACCAAAGCAGAACGAAGCTTGAAATTGTGATCTGGGCTGATGAAGGGAGAAAGTTGGTGTCTTTCTCATCGAATCATATGGCACTGATCACATTGCGCTGTCACAGGCAATAGGTATTTGAGTTGTCCTCTTCAAAGGCCGTATGACAAAGGTTGTGGCCACGTAGTACTTGCGTTTGTTACATTATTTGTTCCTCACGAGAAAAGTGGCATGCCAGCAGCGCTCTCAAAGATGCTCTGACATCATCACAAACGTTGAAGATGGGTGAATTGCCTGCTATCTGTTGAAAAGGTGTGAACTTGAACGCACAATTTCTCTAATTTAATCAATATCCTTCCAGCTCTACTGTCTAGTAGACTGGCTATCTGTTTCGTTTTCTCTTTCTCTCTCGTTCAGATTGTGAGCTCTACAACTGAGCTCCGATATGCATACACATATACCAGGATCTTTCGATCCTTGTTTCTCGCAGTTTCATCTGCAGAATAGATCTCGTCGATCTATCTTCCTGAAGTGCATGGTTGGCCCTGGAGGGCTTTCCCACTTTACTAAACCTATGGACCTTCATCCGTCCATTCATTTGCTCCGTCCCATCGCTCCTTCATTCATCTCTTCGACCTAACTTCCTAACCTTTGTAGTTGCATACATCTAGACGACCATTGTCCTCGTTCCTCGTACTCCTGCCATCTGATGATGATCGATAACCATCTGATTGAGTCACACATCCCCAATAACGAACCGTGATGTGGACCCCGAGTCGTCTGTTCCGTCATACGAAAATACCTTTCTGACACCCTTCCTGTTTTCGCGATGATGGCAGCGACCTTCTTACCAACTCAAACCAATTGCTCCTTGTCTCCTGTTGTTTCGGTGCATGTCTGTCGAGGGTCTCGACGTTGACATTCTTGGTTCCAATGTCGCTCACGTTGTCTTCCGAGCGAACGAAAACAATCTTCACTAGGCCGTCCTGCTGCATTTGGTTCACGTAGTGCCACCTCGTATCCATATGCCTTGTTCGACTTGCACTTGTCTTGTTCTCTGACATAAATCTCCTC